ATGATAAAACAGACATGGTTCTTTCCCTCAAGAAACTCAGATTCAAATGAAGTAGACAATCAAAAACAAACAGAAAAAGTACAGGCATACCTCAGAGATATTGCAGGTTCAGTTCCAGACCACTGCAGTAAAGTGAATATTGCAATAAAGTGAGTTACTGGAATGTTTTGGTTTCCTAGTACATATAAAAGTTATATTTACATTATATTGTGTAAATATAGGCTTGTTCAATGCAGGGTTGCTACAAACAAAAAAATGGGGTATTTGTAAAGTGCAATAAAGCAAAGCACAATCAAACAAGCTATGCCTACAGACTATAATTACAAATTTTAGAGTTATAATGAAAATAAGAATCTAAGAAAAAGAGTAATAACTGAGCAATTTAGATCTCTTTCTTTCTTTTTCTTTCTTTCTGAGGTGGGGGGGTCTCGCTCTGTTGCCTAGGCTAGAGTGCATTGGCATGATCTTGGCTAACCGTAAACTCAACTTCCTAGTCTCAGGCAATCCTTCCGCCTCAGCCTTCTGAGTAGCTGGTACTAGAGGTGTGCACCAAAATGCCCGGCTAACGTTTTCGTTTTTATGTGGAGACAGTATCTCACTACGTTGCCCAGGCTCATCTCGAACTACTGGACTCAAGCAATCCTCCCGTCTAGGCCTCGCAAAGTAATGGAATTACAGGCATGAGCCACCATGCCTAGCCTAGATCACTTTCAACAGAGCTGTACCCTAAGATAGGGAAACACTCTCTGAGCTGGTAAGAAGTTCACAGGTGAAGAATAGAGGGTAAAATATCAGACAGAAGAAATAACATGGAAGAAAGCGCTGCGGCAAGTCAGTTTGGCAGGTGCTCAAAGCCCTGGAAGATCAGTGTGATAGAGGCATTGTAACTAGGGGAAAGGAGTGGTAGGAGAGGAGGCTGACAAGCAGATGAGGCCAGATCACACAGGGCCTTGCAGGAGATAGTCAAATTTCCATTTTATTACTATATAATTATATCTATATTAATATATAAGTATATAATTAACTTATACTTGTTTAAGATAGAAGAATATGATCAATTTTCACCTTAATAAAATTTCTCTGGATGATGAATAAAGAAGGGATTGGCAAATAAGAGAGAATGTGAGGCCAGTCCAGAGGCTGATGCAATCATCCATGGAATATATGGGGGTGGCCTGGACTAAGAGAATAGTCAATTCAAGATTTGTTTTGGAGAAAAAAATCATCATGAATTGCTGATAGAGCTGATGTGGGAAATAAAGGAAAATGATAACTCAGGGTGGATTCCTAGGTTTCTAGTTTGAACAACTGGGTGGATAAGCATGCCACTAGAAAGTGCACTATGGGCTTGGTGAGACCTCATCTCTACAATAAATCACTAAAAAAACTAAAAAAAGAAAAGAAAAGAAAAGAAAGTCCACTGTGGGGGCATGAAACTGATAATTCTGTGTTAGACATTTTGAGACAAATATGAGACATCAAAATGGAGATATCATAGGAGGCAGTTGGATATGTGAAGCTGGGACTCGAGGGAGCAGATTTAGAATAGCATTTAAATCTGTAAAATGAATGAGATCACTTAAGCCCTTTCCTTTCCTTCTACTCTATCCTTAGATGATCTTTTTTTTTTTTTTTTTTGAGTTGGAGTCTCACTCTGTCACCCAGACTGGAGTGCAGTGGCCGGGAGCGGCCTCGACCTGCTGGGGGCTCCGGCGATCCTTCCGCCTCAGCCTTCCAAGTAGCTGGAACTACAGGCGCGCGCTACCACGCCTGGCTAATTTTTTGTAAAGATGAGGTCTTGCCAAGTTGCCCAGGCGGGTCTCGAACCCGCGGGCTCAGACAATCCACTCACCTCAGCCTCCCAAAGGCACGGGATTACAGGCTGAGCCACCGAGCCCGGCTCACCCGTGCTTAAAATACCTCCATAGCCCATTTTTTTGCATAGCTTATTTATATTCATTCTTTATAATTAAATGCAATCTCCTTTGGAAAGCCTTATTGAGACTAGGTCAGACATTCATTTTATATGCTTCCACAGACGCTCTACATTTATTTTCAAAATATTTATTATTATATTCTAATTATCTTTTCCATTTCTGTACCCTTCTCTTTAAGACTGTGAACTTCTTAAGGAAGAAGACTCTATCATATTCATTTTTGTATTCTCAATGACTAGAAAAAAGACTGGCAAGTGGAAGTTATTCAATAAATGTTTGTATGAATAAATATACTTATGCATGACTTAATAGCCTATTATGAAATTCTGCCCCTGAATTAACTCTTATTATTCAAGAAAAGGGAAAGAAACTCTCTTTTGCATCTCTTTTCTACCACAAGGTCTTCTTTCCAACTCAGGTTAATAATCAGCCCTACTATTCCAGTTCTGTTGGTTTAGGAGGCTTTTTATGGGCTCATTACTATTCCTAGCAGTATTTTACAGTAACATGCTTCTGAGCTCTATCAAAATGATATATGAATAAATATTCAACAAGCCGGGTGTGGTGGCTCACGCCTATAATCCCAGAACTTTGGGAAGCAGAGGTGAAAGGATTGCCTGAGCCATGGGTTTGAGACCAGCCTGGGCAACTTGGTGAGACCTCATCTCTACAACAAATCAAAAAATTAGCCAGGCAAGGTGGCGCATGCCTGTAGTTCCAGCTGCTTGGAAGGCTGAGACAGAAGGATCACCTGAGCCCAGCAGGTCGAGGCTGCAGTGGCTGTGAGTGTGCCACTGCCCTCCAGCCTGGATGACAGAGTGAAACTCCAATTCAATAAATAAATAGATAGATAGATAGATAGATAGATAGATAGATAGATAGATAGATATTCAACAGAGCACAACTTGGTGATAATTTTGTAAATTCAGATACTTAAAAAAATTATAATAATAGATGTTTATTTTCCTATGTTGTTTTAAATTGCAGATATGAATGTTTCTTATTAAATTTAAGATATAGGACTTCTAGGAACAAATTGGCAACTGAAGTTAAACATCCTTTCTTTCCTAATTCCCCACAATGCAACCAATATAATGAGATAAATTCTATACCAATACTAGAAACTAAATCAAGGTCTTACCTGAGTTTTCGGAGGAAAAGAGAGGAGTTGAGAGTACAGTGAGGATAGGTTAACACTTGGACACTATCTATTAATACAAGGACAGAGACCACCATGATGAATAAGTAAAGGAAAGTATGCTGACCTCAGAGTCTAATGAACATTTCCTAGAATGCACTGAAGATATGCCAAAGAAACAACTAAAACAAATCTTAAACCTATTTGAACCTCTAACCTATTGCCAAATATTACAAGAAAAGAAGATCCTGTGGCCCAAACACAGCCTAGATACAATGACTATAGGTGGGAGGATGGCCTATGAAGGCGCTAGCACTTGCCAGTAACTTGCTAGAGATCAAACTGCTACCTTTAATTATCTTTGAGCTGCATTATAAGAAGAGAGATTTCTCAATCACAAGTGACTCACTGGTCAAATACTTTTCTCCCTCAGCCAATGGCTTTGTCCCTAACATGTACAAACCCTTAAATCTCCACCCTGCCAAGGAAAATATTAAAATACATCCAAAGGTTTCTCATCCCCTTTTACTAAGGATTGAAATAACTGAAGAATATACAATTTGGCAATATATAAATGTTGAAAATTGATATTTGTCACTTAGATGTAATGTGACCTTGAGAAATAATTACACAAATGACATATGGGTAAGTAAAAAAAGCATTTAACAAAATAATACTGTTGATCTCAATTTCATTTTATAGAATGTGAGTATATATGCTCAGAAAAAAAAAGAAGTTTGGATCAGTACATCAATGATTGCCAGAGGCTGGGAGTGGGGGATAGAACTTAGTGCAAAGGAGCATAAGGGAAGTTTTTGGGGTGACAGAGATGTTCTATATCTTGATTTGGATGGTGGCTATCCAGCTATATACTTTTTAAAGGTGAATTTTACAAAATGTAAATTACATCTCAATGAGCCTGATGCCTCCATCATTAAAAAAATTTGTAATAATAATAGTAACTTCCTACAGTAGACTATTGTTCAAAATAGATTCATTCCTCATCCTTCCACACTATCATGGAAGTCTACTTCTCTGTTTCATTGTTGCTCAGGGTTGGCCATGAGACTTGCCTTAAACTCATGGTAGGCCAAGTGTACTTCCTTTGTCCTTTGCCTTTGGGCTTAGCTGTGCTGTATTCTTGCAAACTTGGGCTCCCTCTCTTGCACCTCTGGTAACATCATGTGAAAAATCTTCCCCACCTCCCAAGGTGGCTGCTTCATTGTGGACCTCAGAATGAATACACATGGAGTGGATCAGAACTCTCCCTACAACAATGAGCAGGCTCAGTCAGTCCTGCAGCTTGAATAAAAGCTGCCCAGCTGAGTTCATCCTAGATTTGTCAACCCCCGTCAACTCATAGATGCCTGAGAAATAAATATTTACTGTTGTATGCCACTAGATTGTGTGGTTGTTATGCCACGTTATTATTATTATTTTTAAAGGTGGGACCTCACTCTGTCACCCAGGTTGGGATGCAGTGGTGCAATCATAGCTTACTGCAGCCTCCAACTCCTGGGCTCGATCAATATTCCCACCTCAGCCTCTCAGGTAGCTAAGACTATAGGCACACACCACTATGCCCAGCTGATTTTTAAATTTTTTTTGCATAGATAGGGTCTCGCAATGTCCAGGCTAGTTTAGAACTCCTGACTTCAAGTGATCCTTCTGCCTTGGCCTCCCTACTGAGATTACATGTAGGCATGAGCCACTGTGCCCAGCCTGTTATGCCACATTATCACAGCAATATCAATCAACATACACAATCTCTAGATAAGGAAATCATAGTGATTTTTTAATCTATTTTTTTGAATTTTTCTACTGACTCATTGTTTTAGCAGTATTACTTTTACAACCAGAGAAAAAGCTATATCCACTATGAGAAAAAGAGAAAGGTACAAAAAAGGCAATTTACATATACATACTGTTTTAGATGATCTTTGGCAAGAGCCACTCTTTCTCTGCATCGTTTTTCTGCTTTTTCTTGTTCTTCTTTAAAAGCTTTTTCAATGTTGAGTTTCAATTGTTCTTCCCATTTTTTATCTGATTTTATCTTACTTTTCTGGAATTCAATCTGTGCATCACGTTCTTTCATAACTCTACTAAGAAGAAGTCCTGACTACAAAAGAAAAGTTATACTATTTTAAGAAAATAATGCCAAATCATGTATTGATATGTTAAATATATATATATAAAATACAATAAAACCCAAGTAGTACATGAAAACTTTTCACTCTTTCGGTCTGGTAAAATTGGTACTGCTTTGCATGTTCAATGGCCTTTTTTCTTTCGCCTTGCTTGTGTATTGCTTCTTCCACATCAAGAATTTGTCTTTCTGCCTCTATCTCTTCATCACGCTTCTTTTTAGCTTCAAGTTTCTGTTCTTTCATCCCCTGTAAAAAAATTAAAACAATCTTTTGTTTTCACTTTTCAATTTAATTTTACTAAAATTTAACATTATAATGTGAGTATTTGAGTTTTTTATATGTTTTTATATTTTCATTTATTTTTATTTTTATTTTATTTTCTGAATCAGTGTTTCACTCTGTCACCCTGGTTGAAGTACACTGACACAATCACAGCTGATCACAGTCTCAAGTTCTTGGGCTCAGGCAATTCTTCTGCCTCAGCCTCCCAAGTGGGTGGGGTACAGGTGTGTGTACCACCATGCCCAGTTAATTTTTTTTTCGTAGAGATGAGGTCTCACTATGTTGCCCAGGCTGGGCTTGAACTCCTGGGTTCAAGCACTCCTCATGCCTGAGTCTCCCAACGGTGCTGGCATTACAGGCATGAGTCACTGTATCCAGCTGAATCTTCACTTATTCATCTTCTTTAACATCCATGGAAGCGTTAAAGCATTATACATAGTGTGCCACTTCTATGTAAAAAAAAAAAAAAAAAATTGAGGCTATATACACCTATCCCTTTATGTATCAGGCTTTTATAAAATCGAATTTTTAAAAAAAATTATGGAACTTCTGGCAAGATGGCAACAGGGCAGCCTGGTCTATGAGACCCTCTGCAAAGGAGAACACAGAGGGTCTCTGGCTCTCTCCCCAGGGGCTGCGGATCCCAACGTTGGCAGCCTGCTCTTCACACAGAGCTTGGCCGTCGCCACCACTGGGGCATCGCGCGGTCTGGACAGCCACTGCAGCCGCAGACACAGCAGCCGCCAGTGCCGCCCAGCCTCCATGGCAGCCATAGCGCATCATGCCACCCGTGCCTGAGGTGATCCACGACTTCAGTCCTTGCAACCCCTGCAGGCAAGA